TCTCTCGCTGGGGATCTGAAGGGGGGCTGACCAGAGAGAGGTCCGTGCCCCGCACAGCCACATCTCCTCAGAGTCAAAAAGTGACTCTTTACCCATAGCGAGGAGGTGAAAATACACCCAACGCTTTTGCTACAAATTTTACCACAATGCAAAGAATATTGGCTACCAACAAGCAGGATTTGCTTAGATATGCCACTTCTAGGGCATTCAATCAGTCTTTAAGGTCATTCAAAGACAAAAAATTGGCAGGAGGAGGGAGGTGATTAAGCAGGAGGGGTGACCGTCACCTAACATGCTCCCTGCGGGCAGCCACGACTGCTCTTTAGAAGGACAACAACAGCCATCGCCACCAAAATACCCCAGTACAACAGATCTGCCACGATGCTGACGGATCGGAGATCTTTTGGCCAAAGTCAACTAGGCGCACTTAGCTAAAGCTGGCTCCGTGACCAAACCCGAAGTGCTCCATCCACCACGCATCTCCCCGAGGAGCTACAAAAGGCATTTCACTCCCACTGCCACTCCCAGCTCCCCAGAGCAGAATGACTTCAAACCCAAAACAGCATTTGCCTGTACAAGCTGGTGTCAAATCTGAGCCAACAAGCAGGATTTAGACACAGGCTGCACCAGTGCTAGCTACTAAGCCTAATCTACCAGGTATATTAACAGTAGGAACGGGATTTAAACCCAATATTTACAAGGAAGAGCTCCTTCCCCTCCCCTTAATATTTTGCTTCTCTCTCTTCTCTAACCAGAACAGTTAAAAAAAACAGTCTATCAGGTCAGGCAATTTGTATTCCCGAATCAAACAACCAAAACCAAGCCTAACTTCAAACTGCTTATAAATGTCTTCTTTATGGGCTTAATGCAGTAAGCTCAAGTCAAAATTTAATGCTGATGGACTCACAGGACTTTATATGAGCTAAATACACAGAACTTCTCTTTATATTGTAAAGGCAAAAAAGCCAAAGTAAATTTATTCTTTGCAAACACAGGCTATTCACTTATTGACATCTTTGCAGTGTTAATATTTAGAATAACTTCTGGTACCTAAATACATATTGATAAAATAAAGGAAAAATGTCTTAGTGGAGAAGTTGAAAACCTACTTATAAAATTTATATACCATTAAATAGGAATTTGATTTCAAATTTGTCCTGTGTTTCTTGAGACCCTACTCTCTTTATAATGAATGATGAAAGTGTTAGCAGGTCCAGCGGAAGCAGGACTGAGATCTCTATAGGCTTACAGAACTGAAGCTCTATTAGTGGGTGGTTTAAACAGAACCCACCCTTTGGAGCGGGGTGGGTGGCTAAAAATCATTCATTTGTGCATGTTCAAGTACCATCAAAATATTCTCCTAAAAATATCTTTGACTATTTCTAGCCATATATAAGGAACATATGATCTTCGAAATGCAGCTGATCTCTCCATTGACCTAAATTAACAAGCACTTGGAACAGAATTAGTTTCTATTAGGTATTTTCTGCATATTTGATTTTCATCAATGTTTCTCCATGCAGAAACTAATGGAGTTTCAAGAAGACCCCAGTTACAAAGATTATTTTTTTAATGCTACAATTACAGTCCACACTTTCAAAAGAAAATCTTTTCTCATCTGCAATTTTCAGTATTTCAGTTTGTTTCTGATTTTTGCTACCTTAATTGCAGTTCTTTTTGAGGACTTGATCCTTTAGCTATGTAGCTCATTGTGGCCCTGTATGATAAAGCTAGAAGTTCAGGTTCTAACATTTGCATGCATGACAGTTTTGTTGGTGTAAAGGTACACATCAATGTTTTTCCTCATAAATGAAGAGGGTAAATCTTACTTGTTTAGCAAGTGAATCATAGTACACTTTTTGAATGGTATCCTAGATTCAGTATTTCATATTCTGTTTTCTTCTCCTCAATGTAAAAGAAACAGAGGACATTTTACAGCTCATCTTTTCTGATTCTACCTTATTTTGCTTCACTGTCAAGCTCTGAAATTCAGTATCTTCTCCGTCCCCCTGTTTGACTTACCCTGTCTTAATAACTCAGTAGATATAATGCACAGACATGTGTGTACATGTAAGTGGTGGTGGTGGGATTGGAGATGGTGAGGGATGAATCAAATTTAACAACTGAGCAGAGAATCATCAACAAAAACAGTTTTCTTCAATGCAAAACTTCAAACAAGGGAAGCAAATGCTTTTGTAAGCCAGAAAAAAAGCTTATAATAGTATATTAATACCCAAAAGCTAATAGAGAAAAATGCTCATTGAAATACATGCAAGGAAACAGAGCGTATGAGAAGTAAATGAGAAAAATACAATAGTTTAAAGCACAGAGCTACATACAAGAACACAGAACTATATTGTTGCCTTGTCAAAAAAAAAAAAGATGCCCATACTAAAGTCAAAATACGACCGAAGACCAAAGGAGCAAAACGTGCACTGCTAGGCTACTTTTGGGTATTTCCTAAGGACCTCGTGAATGCTATGTAAAAAACCACTGTGCTGACTGTTAAACAGATTTCAAAAAACAGTCCGAGGCAGGAATTGACTTTTATAACATCATATGAAATGCGAAAGGACTATAAAAATATCGATTCAAGACACGTACATACACGTACATACAACCGTGTATATTCTCGTTTCCCTTCACAGAACTTGGCATCTCCTCCCTCCCTAACAATTCTGCGTTTTTCCGAGCGCTCTCCAGGCAGGTCAGTTTATTACAAAAACCTCAAAACTCTACCTTGGTGTCATGGCGTATTGCCGAGACTGGGGTGACTTCCTCCGCTCTTTTCTTTTTGCCCTCTTCATCACCTTTCTCTTCTTCTGCCTTTTTCTCTGGAGTCACAGTGGTTATCAAGTTGGTCTGAGAGATGCCCTTTGTTGTGGCGTACTGGCCAGTACCAACCTCTGCAGCAGACACAGAATCCTTCATGTACATTTCATGGTTTTCATTCACTGATGCTAAAAGCAAATATTTAAAGAGGGAAAGTCTGAAATAGCTTTTGCTGAGAAGCTGCATAAAATTAAAAAGCTGGGTTAGTAAAACATTTGAGATATTGCTGAAAACACAACTATGTCATGTTTCAGGAAACCAGAAGCATGTGCATATATTTAAATAAACTGTTTACTTGAAATGAAGCTTGTAGCTTTTATATGCATAAACATATATTATGGATGTGTATACACACATTACTGTAGATAATGTGTGCATTACACAGTTGTTAAATGTTAGCAAGCCATTAAAAGTGCTACTGTAGTAAAACATCTGAAAAAAATCAACGCTTTGCCACTGTTATCAGGCAGGAAACATAAGGAGAACCAGCTATGACATCAGCCGTGGGGGTGGAAGAGATTTTTTTGGAAATCTGTCAGAATATAACAATGCAGATCAAATGCACAGTAAGTAACGTGCTGCATTACAGGAAATGACAAATATCGATGTAACACAGGCATAATATCTGAGAATCAAGAAATGGCATCTTTGTCTTATCAAGTATTAAAGTCTGCCAGTTAAGTGAGCTCATTATCCTAAAAAACTCTGGGATGTGATGGCATTCAATTCAATGGACCAAACCAGAATATTTTAGGATGTAAATATTCCATAATTCAGCAAACTTAAATAAATACAAATGATTTTGAAATAATAAATTTACAGATAGAATGTAATCAAAGCATTAATAGTAACACCCAGACCTGCTCTTGACTATTGTGTAACCAATTTCTAAGTCAACAGGACTATTTGAATTTATAAAGTTACTCGCATCTGTAACAAATGACAGGGCCGGGATCACAGCGTAATCGTGATGCTGAATGTTACAGCCACATTTGCGTTGTAGTAACAACCGTAGTGAAGAAATCACAAGCACTGATTAAAAAACCTCTTTTCCCCATTTGCGCTTACGCAAATTAACATCAAAAAAGCCTTGCGGAGTCTAACAAATGCTGGGGAAAAGCGTTTCAGGTATCTTGTCTCTTGGGAATGAGCTTAGGAGGCGGGTGAAAGCAAAGGGAGTAGAGGGAGACATCTTGTTTAGATGTTACAAACAAAATAACGCAGAAGGATAATTTCTGCTTTGAGACACATGCACAGCCAGTTGCTTGGTAACGAGCAAGAAGCACATCAGAATTAGAAGATTCCAAAATAATTAATGACATGCAGCACCTTTAGGGGGAGAAAAGAAGGCTTCAGTACTTTCAAATCAAAGCTTCTCCCCCTCCCCACCATCAGCTATATTCATTGCAATTAGTTTGTGATATTCTGGGGAGAATTCACCTTTTTTTTTAAACTGTAGCAATTCTGAATTTAGTCTCAGTCTTTTTTTCTTCAAAAATAAACTACAACTTCTTTTTACTCAATAGCTGACAACAGTAACAGCTGATGGAGTAGCTGAGACTCTGAATCACGCTGGTTTAACCTAAGGGAGCAGCAGAACCGCGACCTCCGTGAACCACGGAGAAAGACAGGAGGAGAAAGGACATACTATAAACCTGCGTATGTTACTCTCCATCTCACACCTTCAAAAGTAATGTATGGAAAAAGCCTGTTAGCGCTTATCCGACTAGGACGCGAGGTAATTGGAAGCAAGTGTTATTACTCAATCAAGGGAAATGATTCATTTATGAATTGTAACATATACTTAAATGAAAAACCTACATAGGAAAAAAAGCCAAGTTAAACCAAAACCCAAACAGTTATTCATGCAAAGCCTGAAAAAGCGCTGAAGCCTGACTTGCTCAGGCAGGCAGGTCCAGGCTGGCAGGTCCAGGCGCCCCGTCCTTCCCCAAAGCGGGGAAGCGCTTTGCAGGTGTGAGGCCAAGGAGAGAAGCTCCACGAAGAGTGGGCTCCCAAGGACCTCCTCCAGCCAAACACTTTGTAAAGACCGCAGCAGTACGTTTAGCACAGTATTCCTCTGCATCCTCCACCACCCCTGCAGAGAACGTGCAGGTACTCACAGCCTCCACTCAGCCGAAGCTCAAGGAGATGAGATGACAAGAGGTCTATACCTAATCTAAAGCAGTGATCACCATCATGATAACTTTTGACAAAGTCAATTGAGAGGACCTTACCCCCATCTAAGCTGCGAGACATAGTGTAACGTTTACTAGAAGACCGCTCAAAGTAAGGTGCGGGACGGTCTATGAGGGCGCTGGCTCTTCTCGTCTGGGCCTGCGTTCGGCCGCTGTAGCGAAACTTGGAGCCCAGCGTGAGGAACTTCTTTGGAGGTGCTTCTGGCAGCAGGAGCCTAAAACACACCAAGCAGTGCAACCGTTATTCCCCCTCCTCCAAAAATCAGCCCACTATTTCTGCAGAGGAGGGAAGACGACCAGTGGGTATCACTCCTCATCATAACCTGTGCCTCACGGGTCTGCGGCTAAAAGGGAATCAAAGGATGCCCCTCATACAGCATGTAATGGGAGAGAATCACTCAGTCCCTTCCTGCTTGAAAATCAGATTTATTATTTTCTAATCACCAAAACTAAAAATAAGGTGTTCCTTGTATCAGGCACCCTGATCTGGGCTGAAATACAGATATATCTCTTATACTTCAAATTTAACATGGTGCTGCTATGCTGAGGACAGGGCCAGAAGAGATTTCCAGTGAATGCCGGGCAGTATTCATTCACAGGGACGCAGATACCTTCCAGGTTAGAGCCTTCCCATCCTCTGTATTTTGGCTATGGAAGTTTGCTAAAGAAGCTGTTCTCCTGCTATGGAGTTTATGCTTTAGACATTGATTTTCCATTAAAAATCTGAAAACACCCCAAAAATTTATGCTCAATTACTTTTTAGATCTTTTGCTGCTAAGACTGCATTTCCTATGAACGTACAGACAGCCTGAACCAACAGTTTTAAGAAAGGAGAGGAATTCTTCAGTCCTCCCGAACACCTTGAGAGGGGTTTTTAAGCGCTGGACACCCTTTCACACCATTGAAAATCTCACCCTTTTGGGTTTCCATTGTTAAGTATCTCTCTGCTGACTATCTCAGCACAAACTAATTACAGCATTTATTCTGCTATCCCAAACTTTTCTCAGGACTTCTTAGATGTCAAAAACATAGCTGCAGAATTCCTCTGCAATACAAAAATTACAGCTATGGATTGGGTATTCTGGGTGACCAAAAAAATACACTACCAACTACTGTCTGTATTTTCATATGTAACTAAACGAAAATCTCCTTTTTCTTTTTAAACTCTTACCCACATCCCCCAGTAACTTTCCATATAAGTTGTTCTCCCTATACAAGCATATGTGCAGAAGTGCAGCGAAGTCCTTCGTCTCTTTAATTATAGCTGCTGATAATATCATGGCACAGATAAAGCAAAACGATTAATTGGGACCATATGGTGATTTTAAACATTCAGTATCTATCTGAAATAGTATGAATAATTTGGGTGAAACATTTCAAATTCGGAAGAAGCAATAACCTTCCCTTGTCTGCTCAGAGATACCTCGTGATCAAAAAGGCAATTTGATTTGAAGGGGTTTGTCTCTGCTGACTGAATTGGTCTTTCTGTTGCATTTTATACCACATCTTTAGGAAAAGAAATCCACATACCTGAAAAATGTATGGTGCTCAACACACACTTTCCATAAGCGCTTTGCAGCACGATGATTTGGCAACTTAAACCCAATAGTGCTTTCAAACTGCTCAAACTAGGTAGGAAAAAAGAAGTAGTATGTATTTGATGCTGTGTATATATTTTTAGACAGTGTACACAGGTTCATCTTCATTTCCTCCGTCTATATCATCTCATTGCAAGGGTGAACATATATGCTCATATATATAACCACATACATATATATTCTACAGACTACTGTCTGGGAAGGAAGCTGTGAGTGATAATCAATGGCAACCTTTGAGGATCGTTTTTGGGAGGATGCCCAGACGAGCAAGAGGTTTTTGATGGTGACAGTGATGTTTTATGCTCTATAGTAAGAAAGAGATCAGTTAAGACTTGGGAGACTTCTGAGAAAAAACATCATTTAAGTGTTTTAACCCTGTTGTTTTAACTTCACCAGTTTAAACAAAGTGGGAAGCCTGATAATAGCCTGGAGGGGAGCAGTAGTCCCCAGGGACTGATCTGGTCTCGCAGAGCCTTAGATTAAGGAGATTTACACTGAAAGAACTACAGGTAGTAAATCACAGTGTTTTTAGCTAATTTATCTGCTGCAGAGGATAAGGAAAAGACAGGTAATTGAAAAGAGTCGGATACTAAGAGACCTTTCTAGGTTGTGCTGCAGATTTATATATTCCAGATGCAAAAGCTGTGCCAGCTACAACAGCTGTAACATGTTGATGGCTACCTGCAGATAGCCGAGTAGGTGAAATAGTGTTGCTGTGGTCGGGGAAAGGTAGGCAGAAGGGCACGTCTAAGGAAGCCTGGATTCCTACGGGGAGCTGACAGAGAGAAACAAGGCAGGAAACAGCAAAACCGTAAAGATGATACAAGCGACCCATGGGATGGTGAATCACATTATCATCAAATGTGATTTGGAAAGAGACTACGTTGATTATTTTGCAGAAGGACCTATGACCTGGTCACAGGACGCTACATACCAAGCCCAGCAGAACTCAATAGGACTTCAGTGGTGGAGACCTTGAGTGCAGGCATTGGGAACATTAGTGGCTATTAGTGTTTTTTTTTAAACCAAACTCAAGACTGGGAAGTTGGTTACTAAAACTGTCTGCTGAGAGGCAGAAGATGTAGGTTTGTGGATTTTGGTTTAGGACTCAAAAAAGGCTCAGGGTGGGGGTCCCCAGCAGATTTCCCAGGTCACTGATGAAGCCAGTACTGGAGACATTGGCTCAGGACTCCCAACTGCCATACTGCGCTAAGGGAGAAACACCAGTCCTCACCCAGGTGGTTTCTGTCCTGCCACACAGCTCCACCCTCTAAAAATGGATATGGATTCTTCATCTATCACAGACTGGCTATCATACCAGCATTTAAAATGGAGACGCTCCTTTGCCTCTGATGATCCTGAACTCCTCCTGGGATTTTTGCTAAGATTTACCATCTTACTTCTGGGTTGGTGCACGCTCAATCCATGAGGTAGGTATTTGCAATGCATCTGGCTGAGCCACGAGAGGGCACTCACTGTACGAGATTTCACATCACCTTCTCCAGAGTCGGAACATGAGCTCCTGTGGGCCTGGGAGGGCTGATGCATGGAGCCACCAAAAATGCTGAATGATGGATGCCTGACTCCATTTTTATCAGTCTCCAGATTTCTACTCAGACTCCAAATTTACTAGCCTGAGACACTTAAAAATTTGGTATGGCCTGACTACATCTCTTAGTGGGTAAGATGAATAGACACTAATTTAATATACAACATAACGATGGATGACGAGCACTCCATGAATAAGCAGCATGTTACTTAAATTCCCAAAGTATTCATAATATGGATGAGCTTTTTACATGCAGATGGCGATATTTATTCTTTACGTTAGTTCACGGATGTAAACAGAAAAAGACCAAAGAAGATTTTACCTGTATTTTAAATAAAGTATTTGCCTAAACTTTCCTAAGAAAATCAGCACAAATTAAAAAAAAAATAAATGGAGAGGAATGTTAAAGGCTTGTAAGACATGACAAATCAACAAACCCATGAGAACACGCATTTTTTGAAAAGGTTCATTCACTAAAAATGTCAGGATGCCCTTACCTCCCCTGGTCGGATTTTGATGTAGAAGTTGTTCCTCTTGTAAGAAATTTTCAGAACCTTTGGCCAGGCAAATCTATTTATTCTGAGTCTGTCTCGATATATTAAGAGACCACTTGCACAAACTCCTAACATGATTTCCACTCCTTCAGAATCCTGGAAAAGCGAGCAATGCACTTTGTTGAACATTTCTCCCCTTACATCCCACAGCACTACAGATTCTTGTATACTGTGTTTCTATCTGAGCTACGTCTTTTTAATGCACCAGCTGTAGTGACCTGATTTCTGAGAGCTACCCCACTCACTGACTGCATTCATGCAAGTAATAGTAAGGTTGGGCAGGGTGAGAGAAACTGAGTGTTGTGAGTTTCCTTGTGGTTTAGAAAGACTCCAAAAGGTGGTGGGAAATTTTAGACGACATTAAAAGAATTACCTTAACCATATACCAAAATTTTATTAGCGTAATAAAAAAAGAAGTGTTATTAGCGTAAATACCAGATTGAAAGTAAGTAGGACAGCATACAAATTTACTTCTCCCTGTATCACTCATCTCCATGACTAAGCCTTGTGAATCCTTAGATAGATTTTTCTTCTGTAGTTTGCTCATCTTGGCTTTAGTTAGTTTGCTAGTTTCTTTAATGCTGTTGTGCTTATGCTCAGTATTTTCACTTTGAAATGATCAGCGGGCAGAAAGTTGGGCATTTGGACCAGAAAGATTCTTTCTGAAGTGTGCAACCGTGCCTGTGCTATAACCCATTTTTGACAGGGAAGCTGTAGGTCAGACATACTAGCACTATAAAAGATTTGGCCACAATCTTATCAGAATATACTCAAAATTATGTATTTTTTAAGTAAGAACTACACGCTTCTCCTTCCTTTAGAAGACTTCAAATAGTCTAAAACCAATCTTCACTGTTTGCTATCACCACTAGCCTGTGTAATTGTACTAATACTGCCGGAGAAAAGAAGGATCCACCTTAAAGCACAGAGTTCGTTGGTAATTATTTTAAAATAACTTAAAGTTACAAAAGTCTGACAACAGAAGCTATGAAGATGTCACCCTATGATAATCATGAAATGAATTCATCATTTTCCTCTGGTTTTCCCGACAAGCCATCTCTTAGGCACGCAGTGAAAATCTGATTACATTTTAAAATGAACACAAAGGCACGCATGGTCAGTCATGATGAAAAGGCTATGGCACAGCTTGCAATACAAAAAAATTGTTTTAGAATCAAGAGACACAACACACAGTTAGTGCCACAAAGTCACTCCAGTGTTAGAAAACACACCAATAAAGGATGTATGTTCCAACAATGATGGTATCACCCCTTAAAGGTAGATTTTTTTCTAAATAAAGCTCTCGCATGGTATCATTGTGAGATACAACAGAAGAGACAAAGCTAATTTTTTTCAGCGGACTTCAACTTCAGTTTCCTAAGCAAAGAGTAATGCCTAAATACAGGAAATACGTTTTAAAAACGAAAGTGCCAGTAATCCCACTGCCTGGCGAATGCCTGAAATGCATGTGTGCTCACATACGGCACACAGCTGCAGGTGCAAAGGGCTCCTTCTTTTGATATACTTTCTCAAAAAGTTGTTGAGAAATGCCTGCTTCCCTCATCCCAACCTCTGCAGAAGACCTAAGTCCATTCATGGCTTTAATAACTTGTCGGTGTCAGAGACTGCTTTTCAGTGGGATACTACTCGTGTAAAATGAAACGTAAGTAAGAGGAGAATTTGGCTTTTTTCAGGAGCAATGCGGTTGCACGGAACAGAAAACTGTTAGCCGAAATGGCCGAGGCACGAGACGCTGAGCTGCACATCCCTGCAGCTCTGCATACGAATGGGAAGTTTTATCAGAGCGGTGACAGCCCAGAGGACAAATCTGTCTATTTGAACACATTGTTTATCGTAGCCTTGCGTTGGATAATTGAGAACTAGTTTTAACAGCAGCTGGCAAGTCTAGCATCTGTTGAATACCTAAGATACTGGGACAGCCTTAATGAATTGACATTTACATAGAGACATCTGCCATGGTGTGACTTCAAAAAGACATCCACAGAGATACTTGTCCCCTAGCCTGATACCATGAGATGTCACTGGCAGACCTAATTAAAACGAAACATTACTTCTCATGCAGAGTCTACTTTTCCCACTTTCAGCTCCGTTTCCAAGATTACTGTTGGGTTTCTTAACCCACAGACATACCCAATTCGGTTAGCACTGCAGCTTTTTAAATTAAGAACATCACTTTAGAGAGGGATCGGCTTGTCTACCAACTTCTCTCGCTCTGAGACTTCTCATATGAAAAACAGAAGAGTAAAACTGGCTAATGATACTTTTGGGGGGAGGGGGTAAGGTTATCTCAGGACACCCCATTTTAAATTTCACAGCCTTTCTCCAATATTCTGAAAAAAATGCTTAGGCCTTAGTGCTGTGCTAGGTTAAATTTTCAGTAATGAAGCCTGTAACATATTCAGAACAGGAACTCACTTTGCAGGTTTCTTTGTGTTGGACAAAGGATGGTGAAAAAAAGCTACTGAGTGACATTTGCCAATCCGTTTCTATCTCTGCTCCAAGTGTGCCTCAAGATTTTGTGCCTATCTGCACGACACAGGGAAAGCAGCGGCACGCCTCCTGGTAGAGTGCTGCCCGTTGAGCCATACGCAGATTTTTCATTTTCAGTGAAGGCAATTAACAGAACACAAAAGATTGCCTTGAATTCTGTAACACACATGCACAGCTCTTACAAAATGCCCCAGGGACATGGTTGCAGGCCCTTTCAAGATCCGAGCTGTAAATTCATCTTGGTTCTTGAAAGGATCTGCTGCAGCATAAAAACAGCCTTACAGTAATTTGACCTTTACAGAAAATGCAGTGCTCTCCACAGCTCAGGATTCTTTGTTCAGCACTCATTTGCCAAGGATGCTTGCTAACCTCAGAGATGTTAAAATCCATTAGCCTTACTTTGAAGAGTGAAGAAAAAAATAGTAATGATTTCTTTTGAAAAAAAACCCACAAAAAAACCAGATAACCAACACAAGGCTGGTAGGTGGCTCTCCCAAGCCACTATAAGAATGACCATGTTTTATTCATAACTTAACCTGCCAATGATTAGAGAAACTACTTCATCATGGGAGAATGTTTCCAGCAGAATTACTGCCCTTCCAAGTCAACTGCAACAACCACACTTCAGAAGAGAGACAAGCCGCTGTCTCCTCATTACTATCAATCTGATTAGGTTTCCAACATGGCTAAATAATTGCTTGAAAGTTCTCTGCAGTGTTAGAAATCATCTGCTTATCTAGTTAAGATACCACAGTTGGCCTTATTAAATTGGAAAATGTAGCTGAATAAAATGACAATTGATCACTCTCTGGACAGCTTCTAATATCCTTCCTCATTACTCTGTCCATTCAATACTTTCCCAAAGGATTTGGTTGTTTAATCAACATGAAAGGTTCATGTGCAACATCTTTGAATCTATAGGCTAGGTTATGTTACAGTTACAAGATATATTTATGCTTATCCCATGAGTCACCTTTCCTCATGTTGACACATGATGTATCCCACAAAACGCCCGTCTCAAAACAACAGGAAAGAATAAATCAGGGAGTCCATGCAGATTCAAGTACTATGCCACAGGAGAAAGATGACCGGTGAAAGAACTATAGTCTATACCTTGGCATGATGGAGATCTACTCCGTACATGGACAGTTTTTTGGCATTCTCCAGGAAATGCATCTCAGCCTCTGCAGGTGTCATTCCCCTGAGGAAAAGCAACCAATTCTAGCATCAATGTTAAGGAAGCAAGAGTCCGAAATAAAATCCAGCACCTGGAAAACACTTTCAGCCTGTCAGAACTACAGCCGTACACCCCTTAGATGGCTGGGTACCTACCAGAGCCAAAGCTCTGGTGCAGATCCTGTTACCTTTCATGCTGCAAAGCTCTTCTCTAACCACAGACACGGAGAGGAGTCTTGTCCGAAAAATATTCTTATTAGGTATACTGCAGCAGGTTTTAACATTTCCTGACGCACCAGGACGGTACCCGAAGGCAGGCTAGAGCCCACACCGATGCCCTCCGCTTACCTGTGGCTCTTGTGCAGCTCGATCACTTTATCCTCCAGCTCTTTAGTGTGATTCGGCGCGAAGCGAAATTCGCTGACATAGTCGCTGCCGTACTCGTCCGGGTCGTAGTCGCCGAGCTCCGACTGCACAGTGTAGGAGCCCAGCAGGGCCAGGGTGACGAATGAGCAGGGCAGCCGACCCGACACGATGTCATCTCTCAGCTGCAAGCAGAGGTAGTACCTGCAATGGAGCACCAAGACGGCTCAGAAAGTGCTCCTCCACCGCTGCCCCCAAAGGAGCACCGCCCAAGCACCGGCACGAGGCCTCGGTTCCTCTACTGATTTGCAGATAACTCCCAAGCCCAAAGTTTTTCAGGCATTAACAAGGATAATAATAATTTTTTGGGGAAAAAAAAAAAAAACAACCTTGCCTAACTTATGAGTAGCAATGCCTAATTCATCTTTATAAAGCAGCATGGAGACCTCGTAATAAAATAGGTTATTACTTTGTTTAGTGACCTAGATGGAGAATTACTCATTGAACATACCAGGTTTCTATCATAAATCACTAATATATATAGCTACCTGATAATTCTTTTCTTTAAGGAGAAAAAATAATTGAAAACACCAAATACTGTTCATTAAAGGGTAGCTGAACTCCAAGCCTTTCAAAAAACGTAAGTTGTCTCTTTAGCAAACTGTTGAGCTTTCTCAAAAATACATTTAAACAGTAAAAGCTGTTAAAACCATGGTGATAAACAGTGCAAGGGATCACCAGACAGAAGAAAACAGAAAAAAAGTGAAGAGCGTTGGCTTGGTGGTGAAGGCACGGAGTTCCCAGGGGAGATTTGAGGGCAACAAGAGTCAAAAAGCAATCCTTTCTTTTGGAAGGCCTCTGTTGAAGTGTGAACTCTTGGCACACTCTCTTTCTGCGCAATGCCTAGCACAGGGGACCTCCGATTTAAGCCAAAGGCTTCACGCTACCTTAAAAGCAACAAGCAGTCCACAAAGCAACAAAGGTTAAAAAGATCCATAGGTTGCAAAATGTTGTAACAGGCTAGGGAACGGTTTGCTGATGGCACAGAACTTGTCACGGCTCAGTAGTTTCCCTGCCTTATACCAAGCAGGAAACCGGGTGAGGGTTTTTTTGCAGTTATGGTTGCAATCTAATACAAAACCAGAGAGCAGAGGTGCAGACTGCAGAACTAAGTGACTTGGATAGCAGGGAGAAGCCATTCATTACCACCGTCTTCCCTATACCATGCACATTAATTGTTTACCTTGTCAAATGACATACAAAATTTACACGCGTGCTTATTCTCATTCCACTTCTTTTCTTTCATAGTTATGATTTTACTTACAGTAACAACTTGTTACCACTGGCAAAAATGGGCATCGGGCATCTTTGTGAAAATTAAAATCAACTCTCAGGAATATGTATCTTGGAAAAGCTGGGGTTTAGGGTTAAATTATACAAAAGTCGTCTTAGCTCAGAGGGTAGACACTGTTCACAGTGTCTTTTCTGCCAAAGCATTGTGTATTTTCCATAAGCTCATAAGAGAAAGGAAGCCAATGGGGATACAAAACATTCCTTTTCTTGGATAATTAGAGTGTAAGTGCTACTACGAACAGCTTTTAAGCCCCTTCTAGAAAGGTATTTAATGTTTTAAACACCTGGTAATATCTTCAGATAGCTGGGCAGGGTCTGGAGGATAGAATTTCACATTAAATGCAAACTGCCAAGCACCACCTGGAAAAGAACACAGATTGACTGAAAGTACACTGTAAGTGCAAATGGAGATGCTCATGCTGTTTGATTACCAGCAGACTTAAAAATACCCCAGCCAAGCACTTCATAAGAACAGGATATAGTATCTTTTTCCCATACATTGTTCTGAAGATACTACTTATCCCTCTCACAGTTACAGTATTAGATCAGATTTTACAGCTTTTTTCTTATTTAGTAAGATTTCCACTGAAGTGAGGCCCCTAAGGGAGCAGTAATTTATTACTAACTCTAAGAAAAACCTCAGTCCAAAAACAATGTTTACTAGAATTAACCATCTGAAAACACTGCCTATACAAGCTTTAAAGACCAGTAACCCAAACCACAGAGGTGCTGGAAACACGGCAAGTGAGAGTACGAATGGGCTCTGGAGCGGGGTGATGTGCTGAGTTCTGGCTGCCCAAACCAGCTCACAGCATCCTCTCACAGTGCTGCCTCAGCACATAGCTCCTGTCTCCAGCAGACATAAATTATTGTGCAGACAAAGCTGCAAGGACAAACACAGAGAGCATGACTGAAAAACAGTACATAACACTGGGGAATTTTTATTCAGTTATTTCAGTAAGTCTAGGTGACCCATGGGATGGATACTGGTTTGCATCACCACAGTTTGTGAAATTTTTTTGGAGCGTTAGCTTTAAATGTTGTAAAGAAAGAATATCAAGACTAAAAAAAAGAGTTGAACACAGCATGTAAATATAAAAGCTATTCTGAGAAAAGGGACAGGTTATACTAGCACGTCTCGAATGCAAATAAAAAGCAGTAACAATCCCTCAAACCACAGTGTTCTTACAAGCAACACAGTGGTTTTTCAGTAACAAGACTTTTCACTGAGGCCTCTATTGTGGGATATACCTCTTATATGTACTTCTACCACACAAATTACAGTATTTCTGTGGTCAAGAAACGAAAGCCAAAGTAATGACACTTCTGCTTTCTGAAACGCATTGACGTCAAAGTACAAATCTAGCTAGAAGTAAACAGATCTCTCTTGAAAAGTCGGTATTGGCCATGTAATGAGGAAGTGCTCGTGAACTGTGAAAAACAGGACTCTTCCTTATAAACCTGACAGGGCTTTCCCATGATCTTCAGTTCAGGGGCACCTTGTGCCTAGGCACCTCCTAAAGAGTATGGGGTTTGAAGGTGTATCTGGTGCACTCTCTGGTAAGATAGCTTATATGCTGGAAAGGACTGCTGGCCTGGAAATACCCTACAGTTGTCCTAACTGGGTGTTTGGGATTATTTAGAGACAACAAGGAAATTTCATCCCGTGCAAAGCCCCATCCACTTTGGTCATTCACGCACCCGAGAAAACAGGCTCAATGTGTGAGAAGACTTTTGACATTTACCATCAGGACTTCAGCTCTTGGTGAGACTTTTGGGCTCCCTGATTTTAGGAACTTTTCCACTCTCTTGGGCCATAAAAGCTGGTGGAAGGAAGATTTGGCTGGCAGCAAGGACGGGGCACGGTCCCGCCGGGGAGTGGACTGGCACTGAGGTGGGAGCGGAGCCTGTGGGTGACACCTGGCCCCACGACAGAGGGAAGGGGCCATGGCCCAAAAATCTATTCCTCTGGCATACACAAAATAAATCAAACCTATGATATAGCTTATCATATAGGATGGATGGTTTAAGATACCGGAGTAAGAGGCCTTCACCCCTCACTTACAGGGGTTTAAATAAAACCCAACATGGTGTAAGTTCACGGGTTACAACTAATGGGGCGCGAACCAGGGGCCGCACACATGATGACAGCCTCATTTCTCAACCACTGGGATGAAATCCCTGTGGTCTGCAGCGGAATCACAGATATCCGAGTGTTGTACAACTCAACCAGCATTTAGAAGGATTACATGTATGAGTTTTGGAAAGTGTCATGGGTAACAGTCCTACTTTTCCACTGTTGTCCTGATCCAAACTTATGGAGTGAACTGTACAGAGCAAGCAAATTATTGCTGTCATCTTCTGCAAATACAACTGTCCCCCACGTCAAGTCCAGGATGAGACTCTTCTGCCCCCGTTAATTTTTTGCTGTCACAACCTTTCATTGCCTATCTCATGGCCTGGGCACAATATTAAATGCATTTGAAATCAGCGGTGTGGAGCGGAGCTGCTTTACTTGCATTGACCGTCAACATAACCTGACTCATCGAGGTCTACAGCACCTTCCTCTCCAGATCCATCTTCTCAAGAGATTAAAAAAAGGCAGATTTTTCATTACTTTTTATTGCAGATCACTTACTTTTAATGAAAATAATACTGGTGGAAAGGTGTGGTTGCGCATAGCAAGCAGGGAAGTTTTTCAGCCAGTGTAAATTAACCCTTTGGATCTTGGAGAGGGAAGTGATTCATTTGCTGGGCCTGACCCAACAAACGTGAACTACCAGATGTATTTGCTTGTGAAAGCACAAGTGCTAGAAGAGATCATTCACAAAACATGCAAAGAAAAAAACTACTGAGGCTTTCCTGCCCAAAGAAGTCACACACACAAACATTTCATCGATTTTAAAAAGTGGGGGGGGAAGGCAGGTCAAATTTTGAGCCTGGCAGTCTTGACAAGGTTTTCCTTCAAGATGTTTTTTAATTTCTAATGTAGCAGATGGCTGAATTTAACAACTGAGCTTTTTAAAATATTCATGTGAAGCAGAAAACTGACTGGTTCTCTGTGAATTGAATGGTCATTTTAGGAGCAAAGTTCAAGCTTTTGAGATGCAGGAAGGAAAGATATTTTAGATAGAGTGCTATCTTTGCATCAGTGAAGTATTTCAGTAGGGGGCAGGAGTAGCGTTCCTGAATATGATATAAATATCAGTAACACCAAGAAATAATTTACACACATAGCCTAGTCCCTAAAGTTACGTTGCTTAATGTCAAACTTCAGGTTTTTGCATCTGCAAATGTCAAGTGGTTTTCAGCAACGCAAGTTCATGTGCGACGAGCCTCAGTACCCTCCTGCACTCATCATGGGGTAAAATACCTAACAGATGCAGGTAAATCCTTTGCCAGAGACTCGGGACAGGATGCAAAAGACGACTGTGAAATAGGCTTTGTCGCCCCCGGGGGAGCGTGCTCTCCTGGGGGAAGGCATGGAGAAGGGGGCCGCGGGCCCGTTCTGCCTGTCCCCTCACCCTGTGGGCAGCGGGGCCGAGGCGAGGGGCTGAGGAGAGGGTCTGCCGAGCCCCTGGTGCTGGGGGCACCCCGGTGGGATGGGCAGTGACCCAAGAGCGGCAAGTTACCCCAGTGGTTTGGGAACAAGCCCAGAGGATCAGAGGGGCTGGGCCGTGATGGGCGTGTGGTGCCCAGGACACGCCGCTGGCCGGCCGGGGAGCCCCCTCTGCCTCTCGCATCCCCGCTCGGCGCCACGGGGGTCCAACGTCTTCGCGCACACAGATAGCAGTTTGGAGGGAGACACTTTTTGGTGTAGATTTTGGGGTCCAGGTACACCAGAATGAAAGTTTTCCAGACCCGCTGAAAGAAGCACACAAACGACAGCAAACTTACTTCGGATCTGCTTCTTGATTTCCTTGGCAGGGTCCAACCAATTCTGCAAAGAAAATGTTTCCTTTTTTCAATTTGAATTAGAAAACACAATAAACGTTATTTTTAAAACAGCGCTATGAGTCAAAGCTAGAACACGTGAAGGTCTGCCACCCCTCTCTCCTTGGAGCAGCAGTAGGCAGGGATAACGTTAACTTTCAAGATGGGGCCCTGGGTGGAAGTAGGATTTTTATTAACTTTCCCAGCTGTTGAGGGGCTGAATGGTTTGAAATAAAAAATAAAAAAATAGAAATTAGTAAAATAAATCCACAGAAACCTTTTTCCAGAGTATCTTCTGGTAAAATTAAATTTCTACAAGCTTGTTAAGAAGGTTTTGTTTGGTTGGTTGCTCGGTTGTTTTTTTTCCTCTAATCCTGGAAGGGCTGAAAACGATAAGCAAGCGTGGCATAGGGTACTACCCCGTTTGCAACCCGGCGTGGGCACGAGGGGCTCCCCGGAGGCAGAACCGCAGCACCGGGGCTGCCCCCATCCACGCCGCGCAGAGCCCGGTGACTACGCAAGACAAAACCCTCGCCGAGGAGGTGGGGAATTATCACGGCGATGTGTTACTACTCGGTGGATGCCAAGGAGCAGACGAAATTCCCCTGGAGGAGGCGCAGAGCAGCTTGGGGTCTCTTAGTGCCACTGCTGCCTTGCCTTCTAACAGAATCAAACTAATATTTAAAATCTGTCGCATAGCCCAGAACAAAAAGTTCGCTTCCCCTAGGAAAGTTCCACTTTCTCCAAAGAAAGATAAACAAATGTATCAGAGAAAGAAAAATATTAAAGAAATATCAAACAAGCAGAACACAACAATCTCCCCCCAACAAAAACAACCAATTTGCAGCTGTCCAAACCCGGTCCGTGGTGCAAAACATGAGCCTGAAGAGCTCCAGCTATCGCTGAGCACAAAAGCACACTATGCACCAAGAAATTAAAGATGCATCAGGATTTCTATTTTCAAAGGTGACATGTGATGTGGGCACGTATATTGTCTGGCTGGAAGTTATCTGGCAGAGGATGGAGGTGAATTGCTAAGTACTTTGATATTAAAAAAATGCACGTTAATGATCAGTAAATGTGGTGGCAGGTGGTATTCTTTTAGCTGTTTAGCTCTGTAAAGTCACTGGCAATCTATAAATGTTTAGTACTTCTAAACCACCTGTTAACGTTAACATTCTCCTCTTTCCATTACAGGAAAGCACACCTATCTGGAAATGCACTTAAACATCTGCCTAACTTTTACCCCAACCCAAAACTAAGCATATGCTAAAGTGTTATCTTGCACTGGTGTGGACCAAGCGTCTGCTTAAGTGATTTTCTGAATCAGAAACAAAATCCTTATATTTAGAAGTTTGTAAAGAAAGGGGAAAAGAGAAAAAAGGACTGATTTCTTTTTTATCATATGTATCTGAAACAAAGGGAAGCCTAGAAAATAAAACTGTTGTTCTCACAAGACATAAACAGCTGAAGAAGCAGTAATAGCTCCAGCTTCATCAAGGAAGATCTTTCAGGCCATGCAAAGCACAAAATACCTTCACCTGGTAAGCTCTGCTGGGCTACAGCACATATTGCTAAAAAGTTTTGTTACTGGTTTCTTTCAAAATATTTATCTTAAAATGCCAAAAACACACAGTGTATTTTAAATTATCCTTTGATATTCTCTCTTTCATCATAACATGTCCAAAACAATATATATATATCACCCGCACACTAGATCATCCTGGACGCTGTTAATACACAGGTTATTTAATACTGAAGTTGAGATGCAGACAAGCAGAATGTGACTCACTATTGCTGCCAACTCCTTCTGAAGACTTATGTCTTTAGCCAAATCAACAGTAACACTCAGATAAAGCAAGTCAAGACTTCAAGCCTTACTTTATCTTAGCAGTTAGCAGGAGCAGTCAATCAACTCCTGCCTATTTGCATCCCAACCACAGTATTATTAAGCTATATTTTAGTATTATATGTTTAGTAGTGTATCTATGAATGTAAATCTGACTTTCATCTATGGCAGTAACGAAATAAATCATACTAGAAAGAGAACCAGCTATATGATTAACTTCTTTCATGGCATAAATAGCCAACACAGAGGGAAGCCAGGGAAACACAGGGAATGCTCTCGAGAGGTACAGAGTTACAAAAAACAATAGCTCAAGCTATGTCTATGGAACTTGGCGAGGAAGGTAACAACTTCTGAACTGTTTGCAACTGTCTGGGGGGTATCTTATGGACCTCTGATGTCCACGTGCCAAAGGCCAGCCACCGTTTTGTGGGTTACCTTTTGGTTTTCTGTGTCTCTGTATGTTAGCCCAAAGTAGTCTTTTTCCAAAAGGTTCAGATGCTCACACACTTTGTCAAATAGCACTTGACCTCTGGAACGTTTCTGTAGGAAATGAACAGGAAAAAAGATCATGTTTGCAAAATGAAGTAATATAAGCATTAAAATAACACCTTTTCTGTTTAATTCTCAAATCAATAACCCCAAAATTATTTATTTAAACTCATCCATCTTTCAAACTTGTTGATCTGGAGCTTCATAAGAATCTGCTGAATGGGGCAGATCTGCTTTCTTGCTTCGGTAACAATGCGCACTGATTCCAGGACCCTTTTTTGTCTAATATATGGGGAAATACGATATACACCATCTACTGAAATCACTGAAAGAGCCTACTATCTCACTGGGAACGCAGCTGGGCGAAAAAGCACTTTTCCAGTGTCCCACTAACCTTCTTTACTGCTAACAGGTTAGATGAGAAGATCTCTCACTGTCAACAGCCAGAGCCCTTAGCAGAAGTTTCGTAGTATCTCTTGTATTGGATGGTAAAAATTCAGGTACTCCTAGTTCTCAGCGTTATACACGACATTGAGAAAAAAAATCTCCAAAAAACCAAACGCAGACAGAAATGTCCTCTTCATAAGCTATGTGTGCCAACTTTGATACGCATTAATTACGATAAACAATTCAAAATTATTTGGTCACTGTTTCATCACTGCCTGCTTCCCTAAGTGCAACTCAGCTAAAGGAAAAAAATCTCCCCACTTTATATCAAACACATGCACACATAAATATTTCAGTTGATGTCAGCGCCGTGTTTTCTTTATCTGTAGCACGCATGTGACTTGAAGCAGACTGGAAACACGCTACTTGCTTCAAACGCAGGAGGCTGACACAAGGGAGGAGAGAACGCCGCCTCCGAATTTACGCGTCTCCGCCGAAAGAGCCGCGCCCGGACCCCGCTGCCCGCCCAGCAGCCTGGGCCGGGGGGTGGGATATTTCACAATCCAAGCTGACATAGCTATGCCAACAAACCCGTGGAGCCCAACGCTGGCCCCAAACTATTTTAGAAGTGGTAAGCAAGCCAAGAGAAAAGAAAAAAAACCAAAGAATTGAGGGTTGCTGCCTAACACCGTGTGAAAACATTACGAGAAATGATGGAGGGAGTTGTGCAGCGTAAGCTGATTCAGTTAAATTTGGTATTTCTATTGGGGCTCTGCTGGTATATTAGAAAGGAAGCAGGGAAATATCCTCTACATTTTTATCGATGGGGAAACTGAAGAGTGTGGCTGATAGAGTCTAGCAAGTGTTCTCCAGATGAGAAAAAACCAGGCACAGAAGTGTACTGCAAGCGTATTGCTGTAACTTCGTTCGCTGTGTCTTCCAGCATCATTTGAGCATAGAGCTCTGGGGCCTTGTTCTGCTTGTCACACGCTTTCCACCCTGTAGTAGGCAGCACAAATACACCCCCGCTCCTTTAAAATTTCAAACAAATGTTTAGTTAATTCTTTATGCCCCAAACTTGGAAATAGATAGTAAGAGGTTGGTGGTTTTATACTTGATGCTCCATGGAGAGGATCAGGCGGATAAAAAAGATCTCACTACTGGTGTGCAGAGGGGAACCAACTCAGAGCCTTCAAGCCAAAATAGTCACATTTCTGCTATAAGCAAGCAATGCTGTACTTTGCAAAATTTCTTGCTTTTCTACTTGACAACAAACCAAGTGGCTATACTGAATGGAGAGAAATAAGCAGGTGAGCTCTAGAGGATACCTGCTTTGAGAAACACTATGTCTGCACCACTGCACCATTTACGTGTATTTGAATTGTGACACTTCAATGTCCACTTAATTATAAGGGTCACACAAGGCCAACACAGGAGCTGTTTTATGTGGCTGATCCGTGCAGCTACACAGATGTCAGCTTTGAGAAATAGTAGCCAGCAGCTGCAAGGTACGGTGTTTTAATAAGGAATTGCAGGAAACAGTTGTGTGGGGCTGTGCTGTAATAAAAACCAACCAACCAAAAAAACCCCAACGCTCAGGATTTCTTGTTCGGCTACACATTGCGGGCAAGTGAGAAGAAGTATGGCAAGCCTGGAATAATTTGCATGACTCATTTTTTGTCCATGTCAAAATGCATCCTCCTCCTTCTCTGGGAAGATGCCCAAGTCGTACTCGGCCACTTTTTCTGCATCAGGATACGGGAAAGCCCTGCCGGTGTTGTGAGAGGACGTCAGAAACACCACGTGTAACTGTCAGCCCTTCCCGGTCAGGGTCCCCTCTTCACCAGACACCAGGTGAGAACTGGTGGTGGTTGAGGGGAAGCCTTACCAGGACCACTTTCCTTCTCACTGTCCACAGAAATGCCCATCAGTGTCCAGACAGACGAGCCTCAACGTTGCAGCCTCGCTGCCCCTGAGCCCTTCCCCAGGTCAGAGCTGACCCGAGGGAATCCTGTCATTTGGGGGCTGGGGGCTGCCTGGCAATGTAGCCGCCACTTACGCCCCCCAAACCCTCGTGTACCTGCGTATATGCAGCACTGCTGTTTCGTCCCCACCCAGCATTAGCACGCACACTCTCTTTCTAAAACAACATTGCACAAAAACACAGTGAGGGGAGGCTACTGCATTTATCGATGGGAAATTAAGAGGTTTAGTTAGGAGTATAGAATTAAAGCAACTGAACAGACCTCCTGTGCTCTTGTTAATTGTTTTTATTTTACTGTGTGCCCAAATAAGCATGCCAGACAAGGCATGGGTACCATTGCTTTGGCAGGGAGAGAATGGGAGGAGGAGGAGAGAAAGGTCAAGTTACAAATTCATACAGCTCCTCAACCCACCCTAAACCTTTGCTTTCCACTATTTTGGTGTGACAAGTCTAAGGCGATGAAAGACTGACAGTCTGCTGGTTACTGTGGATCAGAAGTTAATGCCAAAAATGCCAACCAATTCTCAGCAGTCCAAAAAATGTGGATTAAAAAAAAAAAAAAAAATCAGACTTCATGCTATAAAATACTGGCCTTGTAAATGAAAAGTTTTTCTGAAATGTAAATATGGCAAGAGTCTCCCCCAGAAATACTCTTAGCTATTTTTCAGGCATAAATGGGATGAAATGAAATGTGCAGATGTGGAAAAAGAGACACTTTGTTTAAGCTTTGGGAAATCAAGACAACAGAAAGAATGCAAAACATAGACTGAATGGTATAAATGAGCACAGAAGTCCAGGAGCAAAAACTTCACGGTTTTCACAGCCTCCTCCCTGCAGCTCTATAAAGGCCAGGGCTCTCGCTTGATGCTGGAATGGGAATAAACAGCCTCCCGGTCAAGCTCCCAGTGAAAGGAGCCAGCAGCAGCGAACTTGGCAAGCCTGCGCCCGCCAGCAATTCCCACACGCAAGGCAGAGGAGAAGTGGCCTCTCTCCTCGCCAGCTTCTCCTCGGTTTTGGAGCTGAGCTTCTCCCTCCTCAGGAGGCCGAAGGCCACAAAAGGCTCTCCTGTCCCCTAACTGGCTTCTCCAGAAACACTCCACGCTCAAAAGCCTCCACGTTGGCTTCTTCAGCCCATACCCCTCCATCCCACCCCCGATCCCTTACAAGACCACCAGACCAAGATAACACGTTGTACATCACTGAGAGTGAGGAGCTCAAAAATTAAGTACTTCCATCTTAGCTCTGCATGGATAACAGGATTATTATAAAGTCAATTATTCTCATTGGTGAACTGTTGGGTATCATGCCTGGTATTTCTTAATGCAGAAAAATAATGAGAAAGTTGTCCTTTATTATGATTAAGCTCATAAGCTGTAATGTACTTATGATAAACGAACATTATTAAAGTGAAAAAACGCAAGCCTTTGTTATAGATACGTTGTCACTTCAGTCACAAAATACATATTGCGCATTAATATAACCACAGAATCACAGATCGGCTGAGGCTGGTGGGCACCTCTGGAGATCGCCTAGTCCAACCCCTCTGCTCGCGCAGGGCTACCTAGGGAAGGTTGCTCAGGATTGTGTCCACTTGGGTTTTGAATTATCTCCAAGGACTCCACAGCCTGCTTGGGCAACCTGTGCCAGAATTTGACCACCCTCACAGTAAAATGTTTTTTTCTTCCATTTAAATGGAAATTCCTGTATTTCACTTTGCGCCCATTGCCTCTTGTCGTGGCACTGGGTACCGCTGAGCAGTCTGGCTCTGTCTTCTTTACTCCTCCCATCAGATATTGATACACCTTGGTAAGGTCCCTGAGCCGTCTCTTCTCCAGGCTGAGCAGCCCCAGCTCTCTCAGCCTTTCCTCACAGCAGACATGTTTCAGTCCCTTTCACCATCTTTGTGGCCCTTTGTTGGACTCTCTCCAGTATGTCCGTGTCTCTCTTGTACTGGGGAGCCCAGAACATGACCCAGCACTCCAGGAGTGTCTCACCAGTGCCGAGTAGAGGGGAAGCATCACCTGCCTTGACCTGCTGGCGACACTGCCTAATGTGGCCCAGGAACGTGACCCAGCACTCCAGGAGTGTCTCACCAGTGCCGAGTAGAGGGGAAGCATCACCTGCCTTGACCTGCTGGCGACACTGCCTAATGTGGCCCAGGATGCCCCTGGCCGCCTTTGCTGCCAGGGCACACTGTTGACTCTTGTTCACCTTGTTGTCCATCAGGACCCTCAGGTAATAATAAACCCCGAACTGCAGCAATCAAGCTACCAGAACCATATGTTACTGTACTGTGATAAGCAGTGAGGAAAATTACATGGGAAATGAGCAACCCACAACATAATACAAAGATGTGACACCAACTTCCTTGTCATGCAGGTACTAGTAAGACCCCAGGAACCCTCTTTGCTATTTAGTGCAATACAAGGAAGATTTCAAACTAGCTTCCAAACTGGAAGCTAGTTGGGCCAGAGGAATATTTATCAGAATCTAGAACTGCCGCCTCCAAGGGGCAAATTTTGCTTCTGTGCAAAAGCGTAGGCTTGGCTGCCCCAAGCCAGGACACTCCATCTCTCAGAAACGTCTCCTTCAAGCTGGTGTGGCTCCCGGTTTGGCACTCCTCTCCTGGTCCTGAAACACAACCATTTGCAACTTGTGTGCGGGGCGTTTTGGCACCTGC